CACCCATGCTTATAATGTCTATAATTTATTAAATAAAGCCATTTTTTATCATTTAATTGTGAGATCATTTTAGAGAATTCTTAAAATGAAAAACTATTTTAAATTTTTAAATTCTTTTTTTGTTATTTTTAATTTTATCTGATATTTAGTGATGAATTTAATCTATTTATAATCTATATTATTTGATTAGTTTTTTTTTAACATATCTGATTGCATATAAAACTCGTTACAATTACATTTCATATTACAGTATTATGAAGTTAGATGAGATACAAATACTGGTTGTTTGGATAAATGTAAGTTATCTTGACTTCACTGGGAGAATATTCTTTGAGTTATCCTTTGAGAAAAAGCGAGTTCTTTTATGGCATCAAATACAATATATTTACATTTAAAATTAAACCTGGTGTTTTAACCCTTTCATGTCAAAAGCATTTTTAATAGCAAAATAAATTAAAACAAAGCTGATTTCAAATTGTATCTACAATGCTTCTCACAAATGTTGCAATGATTAATTTCTGACAAAGTTTAACAAATGTATCCACAAAATATTGTGTATCAAAAGTATTTTTTCTCCTCACACTGCTATTACTGCATATTTCCTTGGAAATTTTTGTTTTAAAAAGCTATTTTTACAAATTTCTTAAAACCCAAAGATATGAAATTAGATTTATATATTTTATGTCTTGAGAATTGACAATAAAAATATTAAATACTATTTATTTATTAGGTTGTTTATTTACAAGAAAGTAAAAATATGTGAACAAACTACAATGTAATATTCTTTACTATATTATAAAGAAATAACTATGAAAACAAATTTTTTATTCATAAATTTATAAAGAGAAAAACTATTTTTTGACACTGTTTGTTGCAGGTTTGATTGTTAAACTTTGCCTCATTTTTTTGTTTATAAACATTTTTTCTGAATGCATTTTCTCTTAGCATTTTCAACAGAATTTTTTTTCTTTTTCCCTATTCAAGTGGGATTGTTTTTGTTTCTTTTTTCAAGTTATAATTAAAAATGTCACTATCCCTCCAGAATACCAGAATTATCAATGCCAATATGTTCCATTTCAGCAAAATATTTTGTGAATCATCCTAGTATTTCCTTATGAGATATCTTTTCAGTCATTATAAGAATATGATATATCTCACAAGATATCTTATCAACCAGTTCCAAATAGTTTATGAAAACTTACTGTAAACAAATGTTGGAAGCATTGCAGAAACTCATGGTATGAAAGGGCTAACACTTGAGTTTTTTATCTTAAAAATATTCCTAATACTTATTTGATATCAACAAAATAATGAAACATAAATAACAAAACATTGTATAAAGCACAAAAATACAGAAAAATACAAAATAGTAAAAAATTCATTCATAAATCAAATGAAACATGCTTTAAAATATACATGAAAATATAAAACAATACAAAAACAATGCTTCATTAAAAATTAACTAAAAATAATAAATAGATTAAGAAAATACTGGGAAAAATAATGCATAATTTGTTGTAAATGTATTAAATTAACATAATGTTTTAATTGGTATTATGAATAATCAAGAGTAGTTTCCCTTATTACTCTCCTCTTTGAGAGAGCTATTTCTGTTTACTGGGTCTATAAAAGGACACTATATGCAAACCTTGTATTCTCAGTTGAATAAAGCTTTCTTAAAGCCTACATCTGCATACTTTTGTCATTACAGTTGGTTTTCAGACTTAATTTTGCAGAAAGGTGATCTATTATTCTTAATACATTCACTACCACCTTGTATATTTTGTTTTTTTACAAAATGACATTTATACTTATGGTGTCTTTAGAGTTATTATAAAAATTGTTGTAGAAGATTACCTAAGTTTTATTTTGATAAATTAAATAAAAATTTTTAACATATTCTCTGTTACCTTGGATATTTGAAATTTTACATAATGGTAGCTATAATTATTTTTCTATTTTAGATTTATTATTAGAAACTGTGAAAGATTATTTTGGTAATTAAAACTAGATTTGTTAAAATAGAATGCTGCTAAAGTGTATCCTTTGCATTGGGTTATTTTTTCTCTATAGTACCATGTGATATGCCATGGAAATGACACACATTTATTAGAAGCAATATGCTGCAAGATGCACACTTGAATTTTGATGCAGTAAATACGATAAAAATTATCTTCTTTAGTCTCATGCTACCTGAATTCTGCAAGGTTTTTTTTTTGAGTTCAAAGTATTACTCAGCATTAGAAATAATATTATTCTTACTATACAGTACACATTTGAAGTAAAACAAAAAGAACAGGCATAATTAAAAGGGACAAAAGGGGGAAACCAATTATGGGAGTTGATAATACTAAAATAAGAAAAAAAAGCTAACTGGTTATCGCTCATTACTTGTCAGAACTTGACTCATGAGCTAACCAGTTATTGCTCATCACTCGTCAGAACTTGATTCATGAGCTTACCAGTTATTGCTCATCACTCGTCAGAACTTGATTCATGAGCTAACCAGTTATTGCTCATCACTCGTCAGTTGATTCATCATCACTGGTTATCGTCAGAACTTGACTCATGAGCTAACCAGTTATTGCTCATCACTCGTCAGAACTTGACTCATGAGCTAACAGGTTATTGCTCATCACTTGTCTAAACCCAATTCATGAGCCAACTGGTTATTGCTCGTCACTCATCAGAACTTGACTCACAAGTTAACCAGTTATTGCTCATCAGTCTTTCCCAACTTTTTAACCCTCTTAGTTATATCTGTTCTTTTAGCAATAATTAAATTTTATATCTCTAATAAGATCTATATTTGAAGTAATTTTATAAAAGAGGCAATGATCAGTAGTCAATCAAGAAATTACTGTAGGTAGCTAATGGCTTCAAAGTAGCAGCCATGGAAACTATCAATGTCTTCATAAATTAATTTGAGAAATTTGAAGGATATTTAGACTTGTAGTACTTGAATATCTGTTTTAACAGTGTAAAGTCAGAAGTGACCACTTTGCCAGTCAATAGAAATGGGCTTGTTTGGTAAAAGAAAAATTGTTTCTCCTGTTGTGATTATCATTTGATCTCTAACTTAAAGTAATATTAGACATAGTTATTAAGCATTCTTTGAAATTAACTGGATTTATTTACATTATTTACATTCAGACTAATGTCCTCATCTTTGTTATTATCATGAAATTTCAGCTGTTTATTCCTGTAAATACTTCAGGTGTCCATTGAACTTTTAGAGAATTTTAAACTGAGCCCTTTATTTAATCTATATAAGAAATCATTCAGATCTCAGATAAAGATGGCTCAGATCCCAAAACCAAAAATCCAAGGCTGTAATTCCAAATGTTATAAATCAATTTTGGAAGTACAAAGTAAAAAATGTTGGAGTCATAGATCAAAAGGGGTAAAAAATCTGTAGCCACAACTCACAAAAACTCCACCTATGAAGAACTAAGAATGCTGCTGTTACCAAAAGTTTTATTGGGATAAGAAAGATTATGACTGGCTCATTTATTGGGGTAAGAAAGGTTGTGATTGGTTCTTTTGTTGGGATAAGAAAGATTGTGATTGGTTCTTAATTGGTGTAAGAAAGGTTGTGATCGATTCTTTCATTAGGGTAAGAAAGGTCATAATTGGTTCTTTTGTTAGGGTAAGAAGAATTGTAATTAACCAAGAGAGGTAGGCAAGTGCCAAAATTATCATATTTTGAGGCCTTACTAAAATAAACCTGATTTTGATTTTCTTTTCCAACAAACAGTGCGGTAGATTGTCCTAATTTTATCTAACAGAGGTGACATATAAATTAACCTCTTTAAAGAATTATGTACTTGAGCAAGACACCATAAACAGTTTTATCTACTTTTTTAGGTTCTATCTTAATGAAGACAATGGGAAATACCCCCAAATATTGTAAAAGGCTTGAATTCTATCTGTAAATGACTTTGCTATTATACCAATGCCACTCCCCCAGAAAAAAAATTAAAGATATTTTTTTTGTCTTTTAAATTCCAATACCCTGCAGCTTGTAATATGACATGATAAACATCATCAAGTATATATTTTTCTAAAAGGCAGATTCTTAAGAATTTCCTTTTATTTTAGTCTGCATCTATTGGGCATTTTGAATAATCTTTTCTCAAATTTTCTCTGCTGACGGCCACTAAAATTCAATATGATTATTTTAAAACGATAGAAACTAAGAAAATACTGTTATTGATTTTTTTTATGTTCCTCATCATTGTCAGCAAAATAGGTAAACATGGATAAACATGCCTGCAATAAGATGTTTTTTCCCCCATGATATCGCCTTTTTAACTACCTTCACTCTTCAGCAATGTTTGTTTTAAAAAGTGATGATTAGAATTGTAATAAAACCTAAACATATAATGAAAGTGAATTTATATATTTTTTTTGTTCTTGAGAATTTACAACAAAAATATTAAACGCTATTTATTAAATAATCACTTAAGACATTAACTGCCAACCATAAGTTATCTTGTGGTAGGCAGTTTTTATTATGATGCTGTCTATAAGTTATCTTGTGCTTGGTACTTTTTGATACATTTTCATCTGTTGGCACCAACAATGAGTTTATTTGCAGTGATGTCTTTAATGGGAAAATAATGTTAACATTTTAATGTAAGCTATAAATCAACTCATAAAATTATTTTATCATCTAAATTGGTTACCATAAAGTTGGCATTTGAAGTCAGATTTTGTAACTGATATCTGGCAGTCATTAATACAACTTTTCTATTCTTTTAGGGTTTTTTTTTTAAGGTTCTCTAGATTTTATTCCTTATTACCAAATTACCGATGTTGTCTCAAAATAATTATAATTGTTAATTTTGTATGAATACACTTATCTGTTAGACATATTAACATGTTTTTGGTTTTCATTTGGTGTGGGAAGAAATCAATATCCTTTGACCTTGATGTTATACCTGAATAATGAGTATCCAATGTCACTCAAAATTCATAAAATGGATTAAATTGCTTACTTTAGAGCCTTTTATGCCATCATACCCAGGTAATCCAGGATTTCCTTTTGGCCCAGCATCTCCTTTGAGACCCTGAATAGACAAGAAAGAAAAAAATCTTTGATATAAGATAACAGAAATTAAATAAAACTTGAAAACTATCATTGTATTAAATTTAATCTTGAATTTATGAAGGGAACATAAAAATTAATCTGCAAGAAGAATTATCTAGTCCATTTGTAATTATGTAGATTAGTTGATCCCAGACATTTTTAGCTTAATATTATTGGTTGCAGGAACATAGAAACTTAGGTTTAGTCCATATAAAGATCAACCTTTCAAGAATAGTTAATACCTGTTCAAAATTGAATGAAAAATAAATTAACTGACCCCTGAACTAGGAAAAAACATTTATGTGGTCTGAGCAAAAATTTTTAAGTGAATTCCAAATATTTAGATATTTGTACAAAGGTTTATTCAACCACATATTCAACATTTTGTTTTACCACTATCTTTGAAGCAGCTTCATGATTATATCCTTCCAGAACTTGGCATCTTTTTGGATGATGGATTGGTCAAAGTGGTTTTGAAAGGCATAAGGATCAAAATAAGTGGTAATATGAAGATCCAAGATCAAGCGAGTATAGTGAGTGTATTAGGGTAACTCAGCTAAGCTGTTCCAATTTCTGCTATGTCTGCAAAGAGATGTAAGTTCTGGCATTGTTTTGACTGAAGACAACACCCTTCCAGTTGGCCAGTTTTTGGGACTATAACAAGCAAAACATAGGTTGCTCTTTGATAAGGAATAGCACCCATAAGCATAATATTCAGACTACTTATACAATAATGTCATCGTCCAGTATACTGGCACCAATGTCATCACTGTAACCCTTTCAGGGTTACAGTGATGACATTGGCAGCAGTATACTGGATGTGGTCAATGGCAGAATTTAACAGACTAGATTTGGCATTGAACTGCAATAATTATTTAGTTAGATGTACACTGCAGGAGTATATAGAATAGTGCTTTGTGTTTACTAATATATATGCAACCAACTATTGCCTGGTCCAGTTGGGAATAGTACTTGTCTGAGTTCAATGTCTGATTTTGCTTGTAATACACAATACCTTTCCAATCCCACCAAATCCCATAGCATCACCTTTATTAGATACAGACTGACTTTAGGAGTAGTTAATGGTGACTCATTTCATTTTTCCCCAGGAACTTTTTCACTTCACATTGTTTGTAAACAATCTACTTTTCATTAACTGTTATCATTCTTTTAAAAAATAGTCACTTTGGTTACATTTAAGCTGATAATTGCAGATGGAAATATATAATTTTTTTCTGTTAAATCAGGTGGTACTGAAACATTGTCGCATTTCATGTATCCAATTGTTTTACAATGCTTATACAAGATATATAGATTATCTTTTAGATTTCCTGTGTTGTGTAACCAGTATTACTTTTGATGAGGTTTTTGATTTGTTCATTATCAACAACTTTAGCCCTGCTGGAATGTTCTCAGTCTTCAGATCAAAATTTCCACTTCTGAACCTAATGAACCATTTATGAACAATACTCTCAGTTACAGCACCATTTCTATAAATGGCACATATCTTTTATGCTGTTTGTAGAGTGTTTTTCTTTATGGAAAAATATCAAATGACAAAAATGAATATCATTATCTTCCATTTTTACTTGTAATGTAAAAACATTGAAAATTCACAATCCACATACAAAAATTAAATTTCACTTTTCAGAATATGTATATATGTCTTAAATTTGAGTCATATATTGTTGTAGTAAAGAAAAAACTGTCAACTTATAGTAGCAACTGTTATAAAATAAAATGACATATCTCGGCTGATTTACAGGCAAATACTCAAGAGCGAGAACTGGATGTGAACGGGACAAAGCCCTGTCACAAAATGACCATTAACTTTCTTTACAAATGTTTCCGACACACATGTTCCGGTTGAAAAATAAAATAATAATTAAAGTGCTCTATTTTTCGTCCAATAAAAATGCTTCCCTCCTAATTATACTCGCTTCGTTTCTCGAGCCTGTTAAGCCATAAAAAAATGCTATAAAAGGGGTCACACGGAAGTTCAACAGGCAGTCAACAGGTGGCCACAAAGGAGACCGGTCACGTTTAGCAGCTTTCAACAGGAGAGCGTCAACCACCGTCAACATGTGTGAACTACTATGAGAGATCAACCTAGATCCGAAAGCTGGCTTATGAACTTTACCACACCAAGGTAGCTGTCCTAAACCCTTACGTTCCTGTTAAAATAAAACACGTAAACCTATTTCTACTGTTGTCGTATTTCTTTCTTGCAACCATACGCTTGTCTATAACACAACTGCAATAGATTTCTTCTGTTTCTTGACTGCAACACTTGTAGCCAAATTGCAGTTCAAATGATAGCCCATCGTAACAGTAAAAAGTAGAAATGACAAAATGGGGTCACATGTCCAACCTTCACGTCTCACAAGCAAAAAACGTGTATTCTGCCCACCAGCTCAGAAAATCTTCTGCCTTTATAAGCGAAAAACAACGGCTTTGGTTCATCGAGAGATCTTTCTGATTGGTCATACCATTCAGGGGAGGGGAGAACATTAGCATAGATTCTAGTCATTGAAGTAGATTTTTGCTAACTACTTTTTGTAATTTTTCTTTGGCAGATCGCACACAGAACACAAACTTTTTTTTTTCGGGGTAAATGATTATCTCTTTCACTACATATATAAAATGAAGTCATGTGTTCAAATGTTACTTATTGTAAAACACAACAAACTTTTGTTACTACCCAACAGATTTAAAATCAGCAATATTTTTATTTCTCCAATGTTTAGAAACAATGTAAATAGGGAGTAGTCATATTCCGTCAAATATGGTAAAAATAATGCTTTGAAACAGAAATTTCAATAATATCTAGCAACAGACAAAGTCATCCATTGGGACACCCCATAACATCCATACACTTCTTTCTAGGGGTTTTGGTTGCATATATATTAGGAAATACAAAGCACTACTCTATATACTCCTGCAGTGTACATCTAACTAAATAATTATTGCAGTTCAATGCCAAATCTAGTGTGTTACATTCTGCCATTGACCACATCCAGTATATTGCTGCCAATGTAATCACTGTAATCCCTGAAAGTGGGTGGCTTATGGGTACTATTCCTTGTCAAAGAGCAATCTATGATTTGTTTGTTATAGTTCAGAGTTTTCCTTTTCCTATGCTGGTTGTCAACCATGGCTACAGAGTCTAGTCTGCTCTACTATTTAACCCAATACCCGAGGGGAGAAGAGATGAATTCATACATTTTCCATTAGTATTTGAGCTTAAGTGAAAGTAATGAACTTGACTCGAATCAATAATTTCTAAATCAGTAAATTTTAAAGACAGTATTTGTACTATGACTAAATACTATCACAGTAATAGACATCTTGAAATGGCTAGAAATATCAATGCCAAAGACAGTTGGTATGAAGAATTATTTCTGATATTATTTTCAAGTAGAAAGATATAATTTAAAAAAATTATATTTTGTCTACTTGGGTTTATTTTTCTTACCTTATCTCCTTTTTCTCCACTTGGGCCAGGTAGTCCCTGAGAAAAAAATCAGTTTGAATTACAAATATAGCAATGAATATGAGAAGCACAAAATTATTTGAGTTATAAAATAAGTTAGTTTAATTAAAATCTTAAAACAATACATCAGCCCAAAATACATGCAAATAAATGTTATTCTCATTCAGTGAGTGCAGTGAACAGTGTTAAATTTGCAATTTTCTGAAGTCATGTTTGATTTTTAATCTTTAAATATAACAAATGCAAATTCATAATTATAATGGATGCTATTTTAAGTTGAAAGGAGATAATGTACTGATGGGAGTCTTAGTTGTGGTCATGAAGAAGACAAATTTCCTGCACCAAGACCTGTCTGATGTTTGCATTGGCCATTTAAGAAGAGATAGATAATGTCCACGTGGGAGTTTTATTTGTGTTGGTGAAAGCTAGGTATTTTAAGATAAATTTTAGTGTCAAATAATTTATTATAAAATATATAAAATATTTTATATTTTATAAAATAAATGAAAGTATAAAATATTTTATAAAAAAATAAAATGAAATGTTTTATAAAAATGAATAAAAAATGTTAAATGTTTTATAAAATTTGAATAAAAAATGAAATGTTTTAAAAAATGTTAAATGTTTTATAAAATCTATGAATAAAAAATGTGAAATGTTTTATAAAATCTATGAATAAAAAATGTGAAATGTTTTATAAAATCTATGAATAAAAAATGTGAAATGTTTTATAAAATCTATGAATAAAAAATGTGAAATATTTTATAAAATCTATGACTGTAAAATATTATAACAATCAAACATATATTTTGTCCACTACCTCAAATAAAACTGCCATCAATACATTATTTCCTCTTGGCTTTACTCAGAAAAATTCTGTCTCACCCAGGCAATTAATCTGCCTAACTATGACAAATAAGTCTTTCATTAATATATTATTTATCTTGCTGGGAAACACAGGCTACTATATCCTAAACTGAAAATTTAAAAAAAATCAAAATATACTGAATTTCAAATACGAGCAAGATTTAAATCCCTAAAGTTCTATGTGTGTGCATATATATATGTGTGTGTGTGTGTAACATCTATTTTATAACAAACTTTTCTGCACACTTACTCCTCTGCTACAGATAGGGTTACAAAAGTTAGTTGAATCTAAGTTGCAGAGGAATATGTTTGCAAAATAAACTTATTATATCAAATTTTAGACACTGTATTTTGTTTTCATTGAGCTCTTTTTACTAAATCAGTGGTCAGTTGTGAAATTATATATGAGATTATCAATCAGTGATTGAGTTAATGATGAAAAAACATTTTACACAACTAATATTTTTCAACATAATCCAGGGCTTTTTCATTAATCAAATATATTGAACCTTAGAGTTAAACCTTTTGATGAAAATTCAGCAGATGACTATGTCGGGTTATAGGCTTATCATGCCACTTAGATATAAAGATTTGAAAAAGAAATATAACCCTCTCTGCTTAAAGGCTTGTCACATACACACACATACACACATATATATATATATATAAAAGTGAACATTGTAGTCAACACTCAGTGGCGACAGACTGTTTCCTGCTAAACGTAAGCATCAGGTGGCCTGATAATTGCTCTTAGCATGAAACAGCCTTCAATGTTCACTTTTATATTTACTTATGCTCTATCTATGATGAGCACTTTATCCTATAAATATAGCATAACTTAAAACTATATTTTTATATATATATATATATATATATATATATATATATATATATATACACACTCATACACACAGACACACACACACATATATATATATATATAGACACACACATATCTCACACACACACACACACATATATCTCACACTCACATATATATATATATATATATATATATATATCACATGCACATATATCACACAGACACACATATACATACACATATTCACACATATACACACACATATATATGCTCACACACATGTATATTTACTCACATATATATATATATATATATATATATATATAACTATATATATATATATATATATATATATATATATATATATATATATATATACACTCACACACCACACAGACACATATATATACATACACATCTACACAGATATACATACACACACACACTCTCTCACACACACATATATACACATACATGCACGTGTGTATGTGTGTGCACATGTGTAAGTATTTTTTTAAACAATAAGATTATTTACATCCAGACAAATGTCCTCATCTTTGTTATTACTACAACCTTTCATCTATTTTAACTACCAGCTTTCTTCGAATGTCTGTTGATCTGAGTAACCTTTAGGGAATTTTGAAAGAATTATGAAGGTTACCTGGATTAAAAAACATCTGAAGAAAACTACAAGGCACAATGGTTGAAAGGTTGTGGTAACCAAGGTCATTAGTCTGAATGTAAATAATAATTTTGTATCTGAGAAATTCAGACAGAAATTAAAATGGCAGACGTTTTAACCTCTTTATAGTATGGAATCAAAATATGTTTAATTTAAAAATTAACTGAAAAATGTTTATTCTCTTGAAATCTAAATACTTACCTCTTCACCTTTGGCACCTTTTAACCCAACAGGTCCCTACAGGCAACAGAATACAATAGTAAGTAAGTAATCTGAACCCTAACTGACATTCATTACATCACAGAACGTGCATTATATAAAGTATATATTCAATCACTAGTCCTTAAAGTCTTGAGCAAAGATTTGTTTCAGATATTTGGAAGGATCAAATATGCCTTTTTGAAATTATTTTGGGAAGTTTTATAGAATCAAAAAAAAAAAAATTTCTTTTTGGTTGTTTTGAATTTAGAATTTGTTTTTGTGACTGCACAATGCAGTTGTAAATTAATGAACAGTTTTTTACATGCTTCTGTTAACTATGTAATTATTTTTGGTTTTGTTTGGTCTTCATTATTGAACTTGAGGTCAGTCATCCCATTACAATGTACCCGTGAGTTTCTTTATTTAATCACAAGTAAAGAATCTCCTTTTAAGAGATTAGTGAAGAAATGCTAATATGAGGATAAGTAAAAAAAAAAAAATTACTGCACTTTCACCATAACATGTAACTTAGGTTTGTCAAACTGCCTTCTGCTCATGTGTGCTTATAGTTGGTACTATTGTGGTCATGTGATCAGAGAAAACTTAAAAGCTTGATTATGCCAATTTTCTTGCTGCTGTTACAGTGTAAACATAGCCGCTCCACTAGCAGTGTGCACAAAGGAGGAACAAAGGGTAGTGATCTGCAGAGAACATGTTACCTCATCGATGATAACTCTCCAGTTTGCCATTACCATTTCTTGAGCTTTCTAAGTGGTGGAGGTTGATGGATGTCCTGCTCCTTCTTTGTGTGTCACACTAGCCCTGCCGCTTTTAAACTTCTTGATTCTCTTATTCACAATTCTACATGGTAGTGTACTGTCACAGTATTGTGTTAAAAGCCTCTAATAAATTTCAGCCTCTGACACATCTTGCGACCAGAGAAATCGGATCACTGCTCTTTATTCCTCCTTGGTTCACACTGCTAGCTAAGTTTACACTGTAACAGCAACAGGAAAACTGGCTCAAACTTTGATCACATGACCACAATAGTACCAATTATAAGCACGCATGAGCAGAAGACAATATGACAAAACTAAAGATATGTTATGGCAAAAGAGTGGATAATTTTTAACTTACCCTCATAGTAAAATAAAACAGCAATATGGTTAATAATATAAATGAAGAAGCTCAGGCAATCGGACCATAAAACAAGAGACTGGCTATTCAGTGTTCAGTAATATAGACCCCAAATCAAGAAACCTAAAAAAGCAAGTAGGGATCAATGCATGCATTGAAAAAATATGTTATTTGGTAACAGTCTAACATGCTTATATTCAAAGAGCAAACAGAATTGTAAATGCTAGGATTATTTCTTTAATGTGTAAAATTTTTGTAGTAATATCAAGATGTTTCATTCAGTTGGAAGTCAAATGTTAAAAAAGAAGGCAAAAAATGATCATTCCAGTGCAGATTAAAGAAGTGTACACAGAGTATATTAAAAATTTAAAATATACTTAAAATATTTAAAATATACTTGCTTATTAAAAAGAGTATGGCTGAAAAACTTTCTGCATTTGTTAAATTAACTAAAAATGTCATATATCACTTATAACAAACTGACATCTCCATCTGTTTTTTTTTTTATTCTAATTATTTTTATCAGGAAAAGTCAACTTTATTTTAGCTGTTATTCTACTGCTATATAAACAAAAGCCCCTATGCAGCCATTTTTACTTCCTCATATGGTTTTATTCTTGGTTAAAGAAATAGGGATAATTTGATGAAAGTATTGATGTAACACGTACAAAACCATACATAATTTTATTCATAAGATATTGCAGAATTAATATTCATAAAAAAAAAAATCAATATCACTATCCATGGCTGACCCTACATATTTTCTTCACTAGCAACATCACTATTTGATACATCAATATCTTCTTCAGAAGAAATATCATCAAAAACATCACTTGCATCTGTTGTTATTAGAAATGATGTCATGTTGAAGTTTTGTTTTCACTATAAAATCAGGTATAAACTTCTCTGGAAAAGAGTTTATAAAAGCTCAAAATAATTTATGATGTGAGAATATGTAAATTTGGAATTCTGGCTAATGTCATACAGGACATTTTTTTAATCATTTCATCCCCAAACAAGAAGCAAAAGGCTACTTGGAATGAAAGAAAATGAGAAAACTTTAAGAGAAGGAATTGGAAACACAATCCAAAACAAGAAACAAGGGATAAACCTCTACTCCTGTTCAAAAGACAGAGAAGGTGTGTGAACCAAGCGATAGGTGACTATCTACTCCTATTAACGAATCTGTCTATTTGTCAACTTACATCATCATAATTAATCAAATTAGGGAACAATTTTTATGTTCTAAGGACATGGTGGTGGTATGTAGTTATTTATCATCCAGTCATAATTATTTTTCAAGAAATGAAACAGAAAAAAGAATGACAGAGATAAGGAGTTCCATTTGAATAAATAAAAAAAAAATAAAGGATTTGTAAAGGTTTTCGCTGGAGACTTACTGAATAAGCATCCATCAGTCCCAGGAGATGATGTTGTCTGCTAGTGTGGCTACTTAATCTCTCTAGCAGACATGTTTATTCAACTCTCACAGATCCAACCTGTGATTTATACTGCAACTATTTTGAATCAACCTTAGTTACAGTTTCTGAGAGAGATCATATAATCAGACCAGTGGGCAGGTTATCACCATCACGACCTGTGACCTTGGTCAACTGAGATCAGATACACATATTAACTCTAGGCCATATTGACTCTCTCTGTCCTCCAGGTCACTTCTCTTATCACAAAGAGACATTCTACTTTGATCCTCTATATCAGCAATACAAAGAATTTAATTCTAACAATTCTTGTCTTTTCTTTTTGTTTCACTATCAGTACTTGTTTTTTCATTTGTTCTGTCATGTTACCAGACACACATTCATTTTTTACTTAAAAAATGAAAAACCTTTTTAGCTACCCAATATTTACATAATTTTACTTCTTTATGCTTTAAAACATTATGCAACAATCCTAATCAGATTCATATGACTTAGTATATTTTTCAGTTGTTTTTATTCTACTAATTAATAATTCTGCAATGATACTAGCATAGAACAACCATATGACTTTGTAGTGTATGTGTTTATATCTATTGAACTCTTCATTTGTTGTAATCTATTCGTATCTATCTTGACTTGTTTATAAACATCTCATTGTTTTCATAGTGATTTTAATCTGTTCTTATCTAATACCTTGTTTGATATTTAAATTATCAAATAATAATTTAGCCAGTTGATAAGTAATTTATATTTTAAAATAATTTTGTGATAAATTGGATGGTTCATTTTTCAATCTAGAATACTGATTTTGTCAGAGAGAATAAAAACATGACAGAGATGCAGTTTGAAATATAGCAAAACTAATAAAGATAATTACAGTTTAATTTAGGTTACAATATCGTGTGAACTAATTAAGAAATATAAAATAATATATAAAATATACAAGTTATATAATAATAAACCAAGGCTTGAATATATATTTAGTTATCAAAAATCAGTTGTTTCAAAACAGATGATTAGGAATAGTGTATTAATGAAAACAAATGTAATTTTTTTTTATAGATATTAATTATTATAAACATTATTTCTTCTTAAAAGATATGGAAATAGATCATACTAACAAATTTTTATGATTTAAGAGTGAAAATAAAAACTTGCAAAGAAAGTATTTAGAGAAATTATTAAAAAAAAATAAAGATTAAAAGAAAATAAAAAAACAATTTGCAAATGGGCAGTAGAAGACATTTTCAGAAATGGAGATGTTTAAAATAGTTGAATGAACAAGTTAGTGATTGGTTGAAAAAGGAGGAGGAGGAGGAGTAAGAGAAAGAAAAGAGAAGCAGTGCAAGCAACATTGGAATATTTTGTGCAACATTTTTTTGCTCCTTACCAGACAACAACATGCAAGTAAAGATGGCAAAGTCCTGAGTTGAAACAAAGCATTAAAGTGCTTCCAAATTTCGCATGACACATTCAAAAGACATCATGAATACAAGAAAGTCAAAAAAGTACAGTCGTTATTTTTTTTATCTGGAAAATCCAAAAAAAAAAAAAGCAAAAAACAACAATAAAAAACATAAGGAAAAAAATAAATTGTTATCATAAAAGAAACAGTTGTGAGCTATAAATCTACATTATTAATGCATCTGTCTATATTTCTGAGATGAGGTATTGTAACTATTTACACTATTCAGACTGTTGTCCTCATCTTTATTGCCATATTCACAATGTTTTGGATGTTGTACACTCTGGCCTTCATCAGATGATATATGTTGGAATTTTGAACCAAACCCTTTATTTAGTCCACAGGGATAGATTGTTTTAATTCCATATGACATGCCATTGGATATCACAGTTTCAATTAATTCTCCTTAGTAACTCAACTCTCCAAAGATTTTGTTCCCCTCTGCTGTGGCCAGGTATTGAAATCACAACACTTTAGGTCAAATTTCTTTTTGGGATCACTCAACCAATGCTTTTATCCATTGGGCCATGTGCCCTTGAGTAATGCATTTATTGTAGAAAATGTGAAAAAAAATATTCATATAAACACTTTGTCCAGTTATTCTTAAGGTTTATATTGAATTTTTATTAGATGAAATATTATCAATCATTATTAATTTTTGACTAACATTTCTTTTCTCTTAATTTCAATTGCTTATTATGATAGCATTATTAGATACTAATCAAATCCCAGTGACTATACTAAAGTGAATTTCTTAGATGAAACCACTAAAAATTATTATTACTTAACTAGTATTTCTTTCATCTTAATTTCAGTTGCTTTTTATTGCAATTACTCAAACAAGAACTAATACCAATAGTAAATAGTACAGATTTTAAATAAAGAATAACTTCTTAACATGACTCAAACTCACTTAATAAATAATACTAAAAAATAGAAACAAATGAACCAAGATGTAAGACTTAAACTGTTCTGTAAGAAATACCCTGAAATTATTGTATAAGTAGTCTGAATATTATGCAATTGCAGACACAAATCTTGAAATATCACCAACCGGGTAGCCAGGGAAACCACTTCGACCTTTTGGCCCCTGAAAAAGAAACAAGATTTATAAACACACCATGAAAAGCTGGGTAGAATATAAACAAATACAGAGTTGATAACAAATATTAAAACTTTTTTAATCTAAAAAGCACCTAAAGAATTAATTCCTTTAAGAGGGTAGAATTATATTGAGGAGCCATTGGAGAAAGTGTGTTAGTGAGTAAGTTGTGAAAACTATTCGTTTCATTCATATATATATATATATATATATATATATATATATATATATATATATATATATATATATATATATATGAAATACAATTTTCTAAACTCAAGAAAGCCCTAGAATGCCCAAGAATTAACAAGAACAGTGATTGTCTAAAAAAAAAAAAATGGATGTCAATTTGCTACAACTGAAAGAGAGAAAAAAAAAAGCCAAGAAGGAAAGAGTATAAAGAACAGGAGAAATAACCACAACATTCTACACATACACACAGGTGGGCGTGTGCACACACATTCACTCTCACACAATGAAAGGAAAAAAAACAATCAACCTTGCACTAATGAAAAGTGCATATATAAAAGAAAAACGAGAAAATAATCAGTCAATTGCTGATATCCCATGAAAGGAGATGGAATGATTGGATGGAGAGTTCATTTATGAAACTTTAGAGTCAGGATGCTGAAGGTAACACCTATCAGCTCAGTGACAAATTATATATTTGTATTAATTTATATATATATATATATATATATATATATATATATATATATATATATATATTACAGTTCAAAAGTTTGAAACCACACCCAGAATTAGCATGAGATGAACTTGACAGAATAGTGAAAATAAAAAAAAATATAAAAAAAGCTCTTAGAGTCATTGGAAAAAAGAATTATCAAACTTATACTTCGAGAAACTTTTGCAACAGATGCCAAAGATTTGTGCTGCAGTAATCAAGGCTAAAGGAGGATATCTTGATGAGATCAAAATTTAATCATAAAATGCTTTTTTTCTTTTTGTCATAATAAAATTTGTAATTAAAAAAAAAACATGTCTCATTTTTTTTTAACTATGTATAATAATTTTCTCTTATTTAAAGTACAAAACAAATACTTTTTGGGTCAATTTAAAAAGTTACCAGAGGTGGCATCAAACTTTTGAACTGTAGTGTATATATAGTAATTATATATATATATATATATATATATATATATATATATATATATATATATATATATATAATATAATAGAATAAAATAATTCACTTATATATGAATCCAATCACCAGAGTTTCATGGATAGCTTTACATCCAATCCATTTCTTAATGGATTAAAGTCATTTATGCACAGGTTGCAGTTTTTTATTGGACAAAAAATAAGGTTTGTTTATTTATTGCTTACTTATGAATCAACCTAATAAGTATCATACAATGGTGGGTGCCTTAAGGCATAGATATATCATAAATATATAGCAGTTTTAAATGGTGAATAGTGTTTTTAAAAATCATAAAAAGTTAGGACAATTTTCTTTCATGAATATTTTTGCTTTTAAGTGAAATTTGTTTCTTTTTTTTTTTTTTATAAATCAGTTTCCATTATAAAAACATCTTTTAAATAAATATAAAGAACAGATTTGACCTGTGAACATTTATCAGTGACAATTATTGCAAATATTAATGTTATAAGTTTTGATTTGTTGATTTCAATCTGGTCAGGAATGACTGCAAAACACTTGCCACTTCCCCTTTTATAGGCAGAAGCACACTGCATGCTGGGATTTTTCCTAGCTAATAAAATAGGCCTGTTCTCGGTTTCATTCAATTCAGTCTGTCTTGTCTTGAAGTCAGAATGCTATGTTTGCTTCCAAACTTGCTTTTGTGTGTTGATGCCAATTTTTAGTTTGTGAATTTTTTTTGCCTTATTACTGTTAATTTGACTGGCATATATTGTTTGCTTGCTTTATATCATTTTTTGCCTTGTTCTTTTGTTTTTATTGCTTATTGCAACCTTTTTCAATTCTGTTTGTTGGATAGTTCTGTTACTTATTTTGCATTTGACCATAGCTACTCACTCCACATGATTCTTAGCACAAAGTAAATTATTATTATCTTCAACCACACATGATATTTAGACTTTGCGCTGAATATGAATACATATTAACAAAAAGGATTATTGTTAAATAAAACACACACCTGTACTCCACGTCCTCCTTTTTCACCCTGTAATTAGAAATTAAGATAATTAATAAATTATATAGATATCTATATATTAACAAAATATATATCAATAAATTATCATAAATTTATATATATATATATATATATATATATATATATATATATATATATATATGTGTGTGTGTGTGTGTGTGTGTGTCAGTTGAAAGGCTCTTGCATTTCAAAGATAAACTCAGAAACAATCTAAAGCAATGCAATATCTATTTTTCTTCCTGGAAAAAGGTGTCAGAGCAAAGGTGCTGGCATCTGTCCTGCTTCGTATCTATACAAAAGTTTGAGCGAAGCCGACTTGAACATCGGGATCAGCTGCATGCAAATATAAAGATATATAAATATATATATATATATATATATATATATATATACATGCTGCTCCTCTCAATGACAGCTTTACCTACCACAGTGGCTTTGTTGCACAGAATAAAGCAGGTCTTGTGGAAACATGTGGCAATTGGTCCTCAACCACTTGAGTGAAATGGGTCAACCACATGTTTCATCTGTTTAAAAATTTGCAAAACAACTGCAAGCCTCAGGAGACACATGTGTATACATAGAAGTTGCACAGCTCTATTTTACTGAGCTCTTGTTTATTGTCCACAACAAGAGAGTCTACCATGCTTACTGTCTGATGGGATTATGCCCATATTATATTGAAATACCAGTTCCCATATAATCACTGAAGTTAAGCAATGTTGAGCCTGATCAGTAACTATATGGGTGATCACTTGGGAATACTAGGTAGTGTAAGCCTAGATGTGCAGGGGGGGGATGAATAGCTTGTAATTAAAAATTGGAGGGCCAAGTTCCAATTTCAGTTGGGTTTGTTATATTGACTTATGTGCAAATAACCTTGAGGAAGGTATGATTACACTTCTTCTCCCCTATGGGTTAATTATTAGGATTTGTATCAGTAAATCATTATTATTTCCCAAATATTCTTACAATTTAAAAATATTTTCAGGCTTTGCTAACCTGCAAAAAGTTGATAAGTCATAAAAAAAAATTAGTCAATCAGTCAATACTGTCTGATGAGCTAAGTTCACAAAACTATAGTCGTGAGTAAGCAAATATTTGGCTTCTTAATTTGGATTATATATAACACACATACAATTTTAACTGCACATGTCATTAGCATTTTTAATGACATCTGTGGTGAAAACAATAATGGCTCCCCTAGATAAAATTTCCTAGAAAAAAAAAATGCAATGCAAAGTTTGAATTGCAGAAAAGTACATTTTCTTCAATAAGACTTTCAAAGGTATAGGCCTGTAGACATTCATTTTATGGCTTGTAACTAAACAGGGATTTCTTCCGAAATACATGTACCTACTAAAATAATGTTTATAGTAATAAAATTATATCTGGATTTAAAAAAAACATTAGTAGCTGAAATTACTTTGCTTACGTCAGAAGTTCACAAACTTTTTTTTTTGTGCCACATTTTCAGAATCAAAAATTGTTCACACCTCACCAAATTTTATGTGATAAAAAAGTACATTTAAAAATAAAACATGGAGAGAGAGTTAAAGGGAGATAACCGCAGATTGAAAGTCAGAACATTATCATTGATAACTCTCTCCTCCAATTTGTGGACCCTAGTTACTATATTCTTAATACTTGATATAATGCAAAAATCTCACAATGATAAAATCAGTCAATAATTATTTATAACTTTTTATACTGGAACTTATGCATGCAATTACAAGTAATCCATAATAATATTTTAAGTTTTGAAATCATTTATTTTTGGCATATGAATTTTTTAAAACTGTTTCTAAATCTTTGATTGTCTTTCAATCATTCCGCCTCACCTGCTATCCTCTTTCGGCACACAGTTTGGGAAACCCTGGTTTACATTTTGAATACAGAAATATAAGTTAGTAGATGTACACACCAAAACATCCTTATAAGAGATGTACATTTCTGAAGAGTAATAGAGTTCTGCTGTCATATATATATATATATATATAAAATAAAATATATTTATAAAATAAAATAATATATATATATATATATATATATATATATATATACACTGATACTGATTGGATATCGACTTGTGCCCCATCTGCTAGCTACAATTATTCTCACTGTGTTTTATATAAGACTACTATATTGTTGAGCCAATTTAGAAGGGTGAAATGTATTCTGCCAAAAAAAATCTGTGAAAGAATATACAAATATCCACACTTCAAAATATTTATTAGACAAAATAGTTGAAGATTATGAAAAAATTATTTTAAAATATAACAAATAGTAAGTAGTTTGAAAAAACAAAGAAAAATCAATAATTAATTGCTTCACCAACCCTATTTTCGCCTTTTTTGCCTAAACAGGAATTTGTCGTCATCTTTTCCTCTTTATTTTATTTACAAAAATAAATACTTACGACCATTAAATTTTTCCATGTCTTCTTTTAAAAAAAAAATTTAATATTTTGACCAATCATAATCAATCTTTTGAATCACATGATCAAATAATCTTCAGCATTTTCCAAATCATATTTTCAAATTTATTTGAATAAATTGTCATTTTTTTATACTTACTATAGAGTGAGTGCTAACAACAATCTTGTATGCTAATGTTAATGTGTCCCATAGTCACTGAGTACCTGACTAGTGTGGCCTTGTGCCAAACTAAGACTTGTAAATATCTTTAATAATTATAATTCTTATAGTTCAAGTCATTTCTTTCAAAATACTCTTCCTTCTTTTTCATGAAATCATTTAATTTTTTGCTTTGATCATTAAATAAAAAAATTCAAGGACATTCAAATCAATATATGCCATCTATACTGAGTCAATTCACCCTCATTCTCTTTATATTGGTGAGGAGGAGATTCCATTCAAACAGCTTCTTCTCCAAAACTGTTATGGATGTTAACAAGCTTCTGGGTTTTGTGTGTATTTTTTTAGGTGAAAGTGCATATATAAACAAAGATAGAAGAAGCATAGAAGAAAACTTAAGTTTCTGATAAGGACGTTTGTTTCTTTTATGTTGATTGTATTGAAATAAAGTTAAAAGGTCTCTTCTCTGCCACCTACAATCTCCAAAAATTTAAATGCAATGCCAATCGCCATATTCTGTCTTAATGAACCCTGTTCTTTTATTGACTTTCTCCTTAAAATCTTCTCATTCTATTTTACACCCAGTATGTGTGTCCTAGTGGCATTATTACCTTTCTTGATGTGAAATGATATATATATATATTCAGCTGACAATATATTTTTCAAATATATCCTATAATTTAAAAATATTCAGAAAGAGGATGAGGTAATTTGAAGAGAAAATAATTTAAAAACAAGTACTTATATAAAGAATACCTGGTAATTTAGAAAGATTGTCAACTCACCTTCAATCCTGGAATGCCAGGTGGACCGGTAGGTCCCTAAAATTAAGAAAATTTTTCAAAAAAAAAAAAAAAGAAAGACAAATAAAGTTTAAATCCTGCTAAGAGACAGAAAAACAATTCTGATGTAAGCATTTTCACTCCCTAATTTTTGACTGGAAGCACTTTAATAAATGATGGATAACAATTTTTTTATTACTTACATTGTTTATATATATATATATATATATATATGAAATAGGTCACTATTCAGATGATGTCAAATTGCAGAAAAAATGCCTTTTCTTTATCATTTTTACTTCATTAATTTTTTAACTAAAATATTCCCTAAAGCAAATATCAAATAACCATAGGATTAAAAATTCCTGTTAATAGTGAAAAAATAACATAAGTAGTGGCGAAATGGAGAAATTTGATTTTTAAATAAAAATTGAGAATAATACAATCATATATGAGCATCTCAGTGTGCCTTCTTGGCTTCATGTTGTCAACTGACTTGAAGTGTAACAACTATATTGAATCAATAGCTGCATCTACTGCAAGGAAAGTTGTCATGTCAGAAGGTATTTCTCATCTTACACACCTACAAATCTAACATTCATCCTTGCATTGAATACTTTCTCTCTCTGTATATATATATATATATATATATATATATATATGTGTGTGTGTGTGTGTGTGTGTGTGTGAGAGAAACAAAAGCAAATGAAATTGAATTTGGCTTGAGAGGTTTTTAAACTTAATTTTCACAATTTACCATATTTTATATCCTATAATGGACACTTCAAATTAGTAAAAAATATGAAAACTTTAGCATCTAAAAAGGCATTCAAAACAAGAATTTGTCCCATTACTATAGCAACAAAATTTTCTGTGAGTGAAGATGACAGTCACAGACTTAAGAATTTGAAGATTTTGATAATAGTGAATTGTTCTGCTTACATTATTTTTCCTTTATTTACTAAGAGTTACAAAGGGCAGGAAATTGTGAAGAGCCATGATTACTCAAGGGGAATGGCACATAGAAGATTTAAATTTTATATCTTTGTTACTTCCAGTAATAAAATTTTTAAAGCATTTTACTTTGTTAAAAATGTTTTCTTGAATTCTAGCTTAAAAATCACAATGCATATTATATAACACAATGCATTATACAACATGAAATTCTGTACATAAATGAGAGGAGTAATGGATAGCAGTTCGGAATAAGAAATTGGAGAACCAAGTTCAAATTCCAGTTGGGTTTATTAAATTCACTTATGTGCAAATACTGTTGAGAAAGGTAGGAATTCATATCCTCCCCCATCTACGGATTAAATAGTAAGACTTGTATCTGGAAAGATCATTGTTATTTTCAAAATATTGTTAATGTAATACTCAGTTGCAAAAATGGAAAAAAAATTGTTCATACAATCCAAAAAATATTTTGTCGTTAAATAACCCACAATGCCATAAAAAAACAAATTAATTAAACAATCAGTACATAAAGTTTACATTTGTGCAGTTACTTGATATTTGCTTATGACACTGATGAATAGCTTAAGATAAAAAAAGGTTTGCTTTCACAATATTGTATCACCTGAATAGGAACCAATAAAAGACAAATTCTACATTTTTGTGAACAATAAGCATTAGGAAAACAACAGCTGCAAACGAAGCACATTTAAGCATTTTTTTCATCATTACATTTATGATGCCACTTTCTCCATAAATACCAGAAAAATTCTATTCACTTAAATGTTGCCTTTAGTGGCTTCCAGTCAGCGTCAAATCACTTCCTATTTATAGGATTTATGTTATAATTATTTGTCAGTGCTCATTATCACTATTCCCTGTTTATTCTTATTATTCCGGAAAAGTAAAACAACTTTGTAATTAGCATTTAATATACTTGGAATTATCTCCCTTAGAATTTTTTTTTTTTTTAACTTAATTTATACTAAATTAAAACTTGCTCAGAAACTTGTAGCCTGAATGGATTGTAAATTGTTTTTTTCTTCAATATTGATAAAATGATATAAAAATTGTGCTATAATGTACTGTTTCTGTTGTATTACAATAGAAAACACACAAACCCACAGGAATCAGGTTGCTATTATATAGATTATGTTTAATTGTTCCAGTTGCTAAAATTAAACTGACCATAAATCACAATAACTGAGCAAGAATACTGGAATGAGAACAGTCTATCTTCATGGACTGAATAAAGGGTTCAGTTAAAAAATGTCACTAATACATCAAGCACCTGAAGAAGGTCATAGGTTACAACAGTAAAAATATTGTAACTATAACAACCAAGTTCAAAGGATTCTCTAGGAAGGATACCAGTTGACAGGTATAGAAATAAGAACAGTATACTCTCAAATAAAGAGTATTGTTCAACATTTCCAGAAGGATGT